CCTCTCTATGAATTTCTTAAACGTGCTTAAAATAATTAAGTCCCGGAAGGAAAAATTAGAGGATTTACAGTATTTTGTCAAAATAAATCCACGCGTGTCTTCTATTGGAACTTTTTTATTTCAAAAGGTACCCTCCAATCATGGCCAAAATACTGTTCCGAGCATCCCTATTTAGAACCTTGTTTGACACACTCATCTTGATGCTTAAAAACTGGCGTTTGAATAAGGATATCGCGTCACTTTTTCATGGAAAAAATCTAACTATTCTCAGATATTTCGCGATATTTTTCAATCACTTCCTTTATTCTCAAAATTTGCATTTTTGTCCAGATAAACATATTTTTAAGGAAAAATTTACGTTATTACTCACCAATGTTTGAGAGCCCTTCTTTCTTCATTATACCTACGAAATAAAGTAAACGTGAACCCAACTTCGTGGGAAAAGGACGGAAACAGCGGTATATCGAACAGAAACAACTGATTTTAACCCAGTTTTATTTAACAATTATTCACCTCAATGTGGGTGATTAGTAGTGGATATTTACCGAGCCGTGAAGCGGTGAAGTAAATATCCACCATTTTTACTGACACTCAGGTAAATAATTGTTGTAGTATATGCTACACAAGTTGAATGATCAGCCGATTGAAAATTTGCTTTTTTTTCCAAAACGAGCGACAAGTGCACATCAGAAAATCATGAAAATCGCAGCACGCGATGCTCCTTCGCAGTAAGCGATTTCTTATTGTAAAAGTTTCCGTCTCGCTTTCTTACGGATAAATAAAACTTCTGAAGGCACTTACTTAAGCCTTTAACCCTTTTAGGGCCTCCCTTTGACGAGAAAAATCGTCTGGCGTTAGACAGAGTAAAATCGTCTGACGTTAGACAAAATAAAATCGTCTAGTTGTCCACCAACAACTCTATACTTAGTTACATTTTTTCCAAAAACCATGTGGTCACATCCAGTTACAAAAACACTACAAAGCTCATGTCCAACTACAAGAAATCTTAAAAGTTTTGAAAAGACGATTTACTCTAAGGAGCTGAAAGTTTCAGTAGCTGTTCCTTCATTCTATGCAGAAATTTTGATATGTCAATTATGTCCATCACTTTTGACGTTGTCATGGCAACCATCAAATTCCACGCAGATCTGACCAAAATCACTTTTTTTTTTGAGAAACTTCCTAAGTTTTTTTTTCCACGTTTCTTCATCAAATAACAGAAATTCGTGAATTTGTACATTTCACAAGCATTCTAGCTTGATTTTGTGTTAATTCCCCAAATGTTAACTTTTTTCCAAAAGATTGTGAAATCCAAGATGACGAGTCAAATGACGTCATTGCCAAGAAAAGTGATATCATCTTGTAGAGCAAGCTCAGGGGTATCTAATCAGTGTAAATTTATTTCGCTCTGCCTGAATAACCGCGGTGGGGCTTTCAGTTAGCTTGTACGTCCGAGGGTTAACTTTTGAATCTGTGGAAGAAATCTTTATGTGTGACTATTCAAATGAAAGCTTTTAGAGCAGTACTTTCCTGCGTTGCTGTTTATTAATCAGTGCAAGGTGACGCAACCATTCGAATGAAATCTACTGAAAAATTCATTCATCCTATTTTTGTATTTAAAAAAACCATACTTACCTGAGTTCAACACAATTCTCTTGAGGTTATCGTACTTTTATCCCTGGACAAAGATTTGCTTTCTTGAGAAGATAAGAGGTCTGATAAGCCTCAGCACCATAGAACAGAAAAACTTTTGGGACTGGAGATGGAGTTTTCTCGAGAACGTCTGCCAAGCATGTATCATAATCCTGATAAAATGAAGCAAAGAAAAGGAACTAAGAACTTTACGTCATTAAATAAATAAATAACTAAATATATAAATGAGTAGGTCATTAGGCTCCTGGTAAGTGAGCGAGTGAGTGGGTTAATGAGTACGTAGTTGGCTGGGTGGTTGGGTGGGTTAGTGAGTGAATGAGTGGGTGGGTGAGGGAATCAATGAATGCATGAGTGAGTGAGTGAGTGAGTGGGTGGGTGGGTGGGTGGGTGAGTGAGTGAGTGAGTGAGTGAGTGAGGAGTGAGTGAGTGAGTGAGTGAGTGAGTGAGTGAGTGAGTGAGTGAGTGAGTGGGTGAGTGAGTGAGTGGGTGAGTGGGTGGGTGGGTGGGTGAGTGAGTGAGTGGGTGATCGGTTGAGTGAGTGAGTAAGTGAGTGAGTGAGTGAGTAACAGTAACAGAAAATCTTTATTGCGCCTTACTCCCGAAAGGGAGGTATTGATCTGATTACAATAAAGATTATGATGTCTACTAGAATAACTAATTAACTAAAAGATCGCACAATAACTTCTAAGATGATAGGTATGAAAGCAAACTAAAAGAAAAATTCGTCAATTGCATTTTGATTTTAGGATCTCTTTCCTCTTCTAGAACATTAAATATGTATATGTGAGTGAGCAGTGTGGGTGAATAAATGCCAGACAGATCGATAGGTAGACAGGTAGATAGATAGATAGATAGATAGATAGATAGATAGATAGACAGACAGAAAGACAGACAGACAGATAGATAGATAGACAGATAGATAGATAGATAGATAGATAGATAGACAGACAGACAGACAGACAGATAGATAGATAGAAAACTTTATTTAACCACGGCAACTTTGATAAAAAATTACAATACATTGCTCTTTTGTTCTTCCCAAAAGCCGTGAACTATAATAATTACAATTAAGTTTTTTAAAATTTTATGTACAAGTTTACATCAATATATTAGATATGAAAATGTAGTATGTATAAAGGAATATTACAAGTTAAGTGTTATGAAAGAAAGATTGAGAGATTCTAATTTGTGTTTAAAAGCTCCCATGGATTTTTGGTATTTCATATGGATGGATGGATGAATGAGTTAATTTTAGTCTCGTTTAAATATATCTTGGTTTAGTTTGCCTAGCATCAATTTCCCTTGTGAACTTACCCCAATTACTCGGCACGACAATTCAAGGTCGTCGGCGTCTGAATCGAGATTGAGGCGTGCTGCCATTGCCTTCTCGCCGGCAAATTCAGGGCGTTTCCCTCATAACACTTTTAAGATTGGTTCGAGCACCCGTAACTTGGAATCAATGAATCCGTTCGTAGCAGAGATAACATTAGCAGCAAACAAAACGGTGATGATCTTTGAAAACATGGTTGAACTCGTTTCTAAAGAATAAACACAGTAAGGGTTGTTTTTAATGTCATTAAAACAAAGCTGAAAGAAAGGAAAAGCCCGAAACTTAATGGTTAAGTTTTGTTTAAAATAGGAAATATCCATTTTAAGAGTTAGAACTGAAAGTAGAAAATACGCGAAACCAGAAGCTTTTGCGAAATAAACAGATACATTTACGCTCGGTGGCTTAGCGTCTATAATACTTGCCAGCAGAGCGAGACAGCTTGCGATTGTGCTCAGACGAATACGACACTTTAAAAAGTGAGAACTCAACAAAAGGATGCTTAGCCGTGGCGAACAGCTTTGACGAAAAAGAACCAGCGTATGTCACTTAAACTGTATAAAACTGCATTTAAAAACTTTAACTCTGGAGCAAGGGAGAGTAATTTGTTTGGGAGGGTAAAACCATTTATAAACAATATTATATATGGCTCTGTTTAATCAATTTGAAGGCTTTAGGGCTTGTTAACCTCTAGGTACAACTAGGGAGGGTATAAGACGAAATGAGTTTGTGAAATGGCAATTGGCATGACTTGCAGAATGGCATCATTATGTGGCATGGGATATATGCAGAATGCTCGAGAAATTGATTCAACTGAAACGCGCGCCTTTTCAACAGTTCTAATTAGCTTGGATTATTAATCGCGTCTGCCATCCTAGAGTGTGAATAATCGCAAGCTAGTTACCGTTCTCGTTACGTTTGATTATGATAACAAGTTCGTTACAGTCTGGTGGTTGGCGACTCCTTCATGTTTACGAATTTCAGGGTATCAACAATTCAAGCTAACACTACATCAGAGTTTAAATCTTTTTACTTGCGACATTTTTGGTATCAGCGATGCCGATGAAATTTCTATCCCCTTCGTCCGCATCCTTTCTATTTTCTTTCAATTCTTTTTCTCTCACTGAGTGAAATGGTATGGAACTAAGCGCAGTTTTGCCAATCATCTGTCCATAAGTATTTTGTTGAAACAACATTGTTGTAAAATCGTTTATTCAGAACATACTTGACTTGCTAAAATTACTTGCACTGAAAATTGAAGCCGCTTAAATTATGAAATATTGCTTTTTATTTCCCTCGTATACGAAGCCTGTCTTTTATCTGGCACATGTACGGCTGCTGTGCTCAGTTGAAAGTTGTGAGCTTCAAACTAAGCCATAAATATTGTCGCCGCACCAAAGCATAACGCCGATTACTTGGATCGTTAGTCTTATAAATTTCTGTTTTGCATCCAGAACATGCTGTAAAACTCACCGTTTAGTGTTGCTAAGATTTCGTCCTGGAGCTGGCCCTCGAAGCTGAAGTCTTCAGAATAACTGAAACAAAATCACTGGCGCGAAATATGTAGCGCGCCAGGCTTATCCCGTGAAGCGGAACGGCTTGGACGCCGTTCTTTTTATTCCGTTAATTTGTACGCCACTCTACATTTTATTTATAGTGTAGCATGGCAAATTGCCAATTTCACATCAAAAGGAGATTGAGCCCTGTAATGCATAAGGAAATATTTAATGACAGTTGTGAAAATTTCAAAATTACAAGGATTTGTATAGAAAACCATGTCAGCGTGACTGGGTGACAAAAGTTGTTTTTCTCAAACGAATGCTTCTAACTTTCGGCGGCCGTTGCAATCGCTACTTTTTTGAGATATGCAGCTTAAAAAATTCTCAGGTTACCTAATTTTAATATGCTCTTTTAGCTTGTGTTAACAAAACGTTTTAAAAGCGAACTGTTTTCGTGTTTACCGAAAGTTGATCACGTGATCAAGTCATGCAAAGAGCCCATTGCATTCCGCAAGTCATGC